CCATTTTGTGCTTCGCACATGGGAGTCAAAAATGAAGAATTTCATGTACAGCTGCAAAGTGCATATATTCACCTTGGCCATAAAAAAAATTACAGGGTTGACCTGGAAATTTTAGGCAAGAGTGGGTTGCCTGAAACTTATTTTTTTTGTTATTTGGCCTCATTCATCATTTTGAAATGTCTTTGTATTGTCAAGTGGCATAACATAATGAAAAGAAATACATTTATTTTGCTTATCAAACTAAAATTGATTGCCATGGAATGTCATTAATTTTGTCTCAGTCTGTCATCTTGATTGGCAACTATTTCAATTTTGACAGGCAACATTCGATTATTTTTTTCTTGTCAATTTTGTAAAATATAATGCCCAAAATTATCCTGTCGCACATTTTTGATGGGCACTTTCAAATTCTTGGCTAATACTCAAAAGTGAAATTATGCATAATTAGTACATAATTGTTGGTCAGTCACAAAAGAAAACATTTCAAGAAATATTAAAACTTGTACTGTATGATTTGATATCGTTTTGCTTTTGACTAACAACAGTTATAAGATAACATGGTTTTCATTGTTGATAAACTAGATTTAATTGAAGATATTTTGCTTCATTACCTACTGTCCATACCTATCATAGTTTCCATCAACAGGCTGTCTATGCTGCAGACAATAAGGGCGTGTCATAGCCATTGTTATGACAGCTTAGACTGCCTCTCATCCATGTTGGCTTTGGTTCAATAATTATAGCAGTCATTTTATGCAGTAAACACAAGATGACAGCGATTGAAATATTTACTAGCATTCACTTGGTTGGCTTAGAGGATTACATGTACCAGCACTAAGACAGTGGAACATGTACTAAATACTATTACAATCCATCTTTATTAACACTTAACTCAATCCCAAGAGAAAACAAATCAGAACAAAAAAAAGAACATCAAGAGACAATGAACATGAAGCAAAACTAAAAAAAACAAGCCATGCATGGCACATGTCAGGAAAATGATTTTTTAATATTAAAATGATTGACATTTGTATCTGATCGTCAAACAAGTACTTGTCCATATTGAGAGATACTGCTCTGGAACAGCATTCAAAATCAGCCATTTTGAATACATATATATATAACATGATGTATAACGAATATATAAAATTTGAATATAATCAGTCAAAGCATTTAGGAGATATGGCTCTAGAAGCTCAATCATTAAAACAAAATGGTCGCCAGTCAGCCATTTATTTTTGAAAAATAAAATGACGTGCATCAGGAACCCGTAATGTCTAATGTATGTACCAAGTTTGAACGAAATCCATCCATAAATGCAAGAAATGCTTGATATTTGATGATTTTCTAGCACAAAAATGACCACTTTTCGGCCATTTTGAATAGGATCGTCAAACCAATATTTCTGTTTATCTATGACATGATGTATAATGAATATTTAAAATTCGAATACAATCAGTCAAAACAAGTCAGAGATATGGGTCTAGAAGCCCATTCATTAAAACAAAATGGCCACCAGACAGCCATTTTGAATCCGATCTGAAAAATAAATGCTATGCATCAGGAACCTGTAATGTCTAATATATGTACCAAGTTTGAACAAAATCCATCCATAAAGGCCAGAAATGCTTGATATCTGATGATTTTTTAGCACAAAAATGGCCACCATTTGGCCATTTTGAATAGGATCGTCAAACCAATATATCTGTATATCTATGACATGATGTATAATGAATATTTAAAATTTGAACATAATCAAGTGAAAGCAAGTCAGAGATATGGCACGAGAACCACATTCATTAAAACAAAATGGCCGCCAGTCGGTCATTTTGAATCTTATCTGAAAAACAAAATTATTTGCATCAAGGTCCCATAATGTCTAATGTAAATACCAAGTTTGAATAAAATCCATCTGTAAACAGCCGAGAAATGCTTGATTTTTAGGATTTTTTAGCACAAAAATGGCCGCCATTCG